TGTACCTGCATCTAACGTGGACCATTGTCAGCATATCAAATTAGCAAGAATATTCTCTTAAACTGAGGAATATGGCTCTGAAAAACCTGTGGGATGAACTACATTGTTTGAAGTCAGGCACCAATCTATTTACTCATCCATCCATCTTTAAAACAAGTATCACTTAAAAGAAAAAGATGCTTGCTCCTTCCTTCCATCCATCCACCATTTTTAATAATTCAGTTTAAAATAGAAAGCAGTCTTCTCTTAGTGCAGCTTTGGATACTGCCATATTAGATACATGCACACAGTACATCAGTCCTGTTAAATATTGAAATTCCATTACACTGTCCAACTTCCCTTCTTGTCTTTTTACACACAAAGTATTTTTCCTTCATCTCCAAGCCATCATCTGTGTGTCAGAGACGCTCTCTTGTCTGACAGCAGCAATTTAGAAGAGTTAACTTTTATCGTTCATTCTGCTGTGTAACTTTCCCCTTCAAATTTCTTTATCTGCCCTCTGAGCTCATCTGAACTTTCATGTTCTCCCAGCATGCAGGCTTGCATTCAGAACTATGTCTAATAGACCAAATAAGAGGTTAACAAGAAGTGGCAACAGAAAGGAAAAAAAAATACAATCCCTGGTAACTGATAAGAATGACAGTGGCAGCCCTTTATTGTTTGTCTTCAAATATAGAGTTAAAGATCCTTAAAAAACTAAAATTTGATGCCTTTGAACAGAAAGAAGCACAAAATAACAACAGGGGGTTATTGCCTTGCAGCCACAGGGGAGAAGCTCCATAATTCTTATTCTCCCTTTTGAAGGTTGTTAGAAATCTGATTCAAAAAAGCAGCAGCAGAAGGAGAAAACCTCTTGAGGCTATAGCCATTTCCTGTGATCATGCATAATGTGCTTCAAAAGTGGGTTTTTACCAATTCTGTTGATCAATTGCACCTCCTTGCTATTCCCCCTTTTTTTCTGCTGTGTTTACATCTGATGCGACTCAATGACAAGCCCTGTCTGAGACTGTGAAACAGGCCTGTCATGTTGATTTATGGGCACATCAAACCACGACTTGTCCAAACTGAAGCTCGCAGTTCATTAATTAGAGAGTTGTGACTTTGAAGTCAGCTTTCAGACTGTGGTTTTTAACATTTGGCTTAATTTATATGCTCTTGAATGTGGATCTCTAAGGGAAAAACTGAAATTCCCTTCTTGTCTTTGAACTTCTTTTGACCGCACAATAATCATTTCTTTGTCCAGAGTGATGCCTGCATCCCAGAGTCATTAACGCGCATTGAACTGCCACTGATGAGTAAGCCCTACTGAATTAGAAAAACAGCCAGCAAAACAAAGCTGAGAGCATTCTGCACAGTGATATCTCACAATTACATGCCTTCCCTCCCTGTGCCATTTCCATTTTAATTACTCTTAGTCCTTTAGATTTACATTTTAGACATTTTTTAATCTGTTCCTTTTTTTATTATAGTGGCACCCGTTAGCGGGCTCTTGTTAAGGTTTGTGTCAGCATTTCCTATTATAGCCCCCCCACACCATTTCATAACTCAGCTATAAAATTCACACTTGACTTAAAACTTAGTTTTCCATATTGCACGGGGAATGGGGTTGATGATAGGCAAGGAAATGTATGGAGCAACATGGAAATGTATGCTTCATTGCAACTGCCACACGAACAGGGCAGGTGTGATAAGATAACCAAACTGAGGCTTGCCTGATGTGATGGGGCTGCATTTCTTCAAAGTCTTATCCTGGATAGTAAATGGTGGAGCTGGGTAGGGCTACTGGAGGCTGGAAGCCCCAAAACAAGTTATTTCTACTGTTGTTATGGAATCTGCCATCCTCTAAAAGTCAATTAACCACAACTTATGACAGTCTCATATAGCCCAGTCATAAGGCAGGGGATTATAGTTGAGCTCTCCGCAGCATAGCAATGAAGGCTATGGAAAAGATACTCAGATGCTGTGACGTGTCTATCTCTACGAAGATGAGAAGAGTGTGGACAATGTTTTTTCCCTATGACACTCTAGGGAAGTGACAGTTGGACTCTAAAAAAGCAAGACAGAAAGAGTATTGGTGCTTTTGAACTTAATGTTGGAGAAGACTTCTGAAAATATCATGGATAGCCAAGAAAACAAAGGACTATTAAACAAATCAATGCAAAGGTCTCGCTGGAGGCACAAACTATCAGGCTCAAATTATCATATACTGCATACATTATGCGAAGACCTAGCCCTATGGTGAAGCCTATAATGTTAGGAAAGATGGAAGGAAAGAGTAAAAGGATGACCAGCAGCAAGCTGGATGGATGAGATTACAAGAATGGATGCATCTTTGGAAAACCTGAAGGGCCAGTGGGGACAGATCATCCTGGGGAAGGTCTATTTATATGGACAACACTGACCTGACGGGACATGATCTATCAGTCAACTTCTGGAGGGCCAAATACATCATCCCTAACTTACAGCGATATAAACGTCACAATCTACTGAGTCTTTTCTAACGGAAAAAAAAATGATGCTCAGACAAATTTCTACAAAGATTATAATACTGTATATGATAGAATTTATAAAGTCTTTGTTGTAGAAGGTATATAGCAAACATGCATGGATTGTGAGATGATTCATAACTTATTTAGAAGGGAGATTTCACTCTATTCCACAAATTTTGCAACAGAGAAAACTACACCACCAACATATTCCATGTAAGATTTTGCCTGTAAATACTTTGTGAGATAGTTTTTTGCTTCCTTAATCTTGAGAAGAAGGGAAATTATTTTACTTCTGGTAAGTATAGTTTGCAGGTGAACCTTCAAGTAATTCTCTGCAGCCTACAACTGTATGTAGGGGAAAGAGTAGGTCCTGAGGGCATGTGTCTCTTGATTGGTAAGGTCTGTCTCAAAATAAGGCAGCACTGCTCCCTGTCCATTTCAATGGGCAAAAAGTGAGGTGACAGCAAAGTAGATGGACAGATGGACAGAGAAAAGAAGGGAGAGAAAAGAAAGGTTCTTGCTCACCTACTGCCCACAACAACAGAAACCATCCTTCTCTTCCTCTCTTCCTCACACACACACACACACACACACATATGGAACAAAGGGTGAGTGATGGATTTATTTACTTATTTAATAAAAAGATTTCAATAGGCCCTGATCGGATGACTCTGAACAGCATACAAAGAATCTCAAAAGACAATCTCCCAAAAGAGTAAAACAACAATAAAGCCAGCCCCAAGGTAAAATCACATGGCCACCCTCCATCCTCACTAGGTATTAGAATTGTTAAAAGCACACCTAAGAAAATATATTCGAAGAAATTTCCTAAAAACAAGATACAAGCAACCAATCATACCTCTGGGGGCAGCACACTGCTGACTTCATGGAGACTACTCTGGTAATTAGAGACTTTTATATCAATGTATAAAAAGACTTCAGTATTACAGCACTTCCTGATAATAAACTACTCCTCAAGTAGCACCTGTGATTATTTGAATTTGCCATCTCTATACTAGAAGAGATTTTTCCCCAACAGTTACACTTCCATTAACCAATTTTTTGAGCTCGGGCTTGCAGCTATGCAATGAAGGAGTTTTCAAAAAGTCTACATCCCAGGACCCTTCTCACCCCATCATTCAATTGTCAAGGACTCAGGCTTCTTTGCCATGAAACCTACATGCAGCTATATGTGGAGAACAATCCAGGACCCACAGTCAGTTCATAAAGAGAACCGGCTGGTCTAATAGGCATGATTGTTTTCCTGCTGGGAAAATATGGTGCCTCCCAGCCTCTTCTCTCTATCTCTCATACATACACACACAAAAAACCCTGCAGATATAACACAAAATAACTGGTAATGGCACATAAACTGTCTTTCAGCAAATTCTGCCCATCATCCTTTATCTTCTCTCCCTGTAGATGCCCCAGTAAGCTCCAAGAGAAGCACAGTATATCCTGGAACTATCTAAAAATCTCAGTTCTAGAGGTAAGCGCAGCTGTTTGGTAAGAAGTAAAACAGGGAAAGGGTTACAAGCAGAGACATTAAAATGCTAAAATGCTTACAAATGAAAGGGACTTCAGGGTTGGTCATTCAGTCCTAGTTATTTAAAGATATCTAAGGTTGCTTCACACAAGACAATTTTCCCAGTTTGGGATAGCTTTGACCATTTTAAACATTCAGTGAGGGGAAAATACAAGACATTAACTTCTCTGCTCCTTCCATTTGTTTAGAATATTAAAGCACAGCAGTGATTCCTATCCCTGTGGGAAAAGATACACCATCTTTGTTCATGGAATAAGCATAAGACATGAGTATCTGTGGTGGAGTGGGGAAGGATCAAGTGAGCATTGTGATGGCTCAAGGCAAACTCCGCTCTTTTTATATCAGATCTATGTAAGGGGCAGAACTTGTGTCATGAAGTTCCGACTGCCATGTGGATGAAACTAGTGGATCCTGTGAACTCCTCTGGCATCAGACTTTCTAAGAAGGAGTAGAAAGAATAATACAATAAACTTGTGCTTATGCTTTCCTGGTTTGCCTAAAATGCCCAAAGCTAATCAGACACATTTTCTCTGGGTTGCATTGAATGGGCTCGCTCCAGTAGGTTGCACCTGTAGGAATCCAGGCTGCACATGTGTAATTTAGTAAAAGAAGCTGTAATCTATCAGCCAGCTGTTTGGCAGAGAAAGGGAGATGTAAAACTCTATCCAATTCCAAAATGGCAAATTCTGGCTCTTTTCACCAAGTTACATGTGTATGATGTGAGCTGCTAGGCTGGTGAAATTTAAATTACTTTGTTTATCTTAACTATTTTGGGTATGTTAATTCATCATTCAGCTACAAAGATATACATATGGGAAGTGGGCTATGACAAAATAAGTTACTAGCCTTTATATTGTGCTAGGCTTTGAAAGCACAAATTTACTGGATAAAAGAATTGTTTAAATGGCTGCTATACTTTCTTTCACGATCTCTAGCTTGCAAATAAAAATGGGTTTTAACAGTACCTCTTTAGGTTGTTTTCCGGCATGTTGTTGCTGTAGAAGTTGAAGCTGCAACTGTTCCTGCTGTTTCTTATAAAATTCTTGAAGCTGCTGCTACAAAGGAAAATAAAAGGAGACAAGGAAAAAGAGGAAAATACAGGTTATTAAGTAAAACAAATTGGGATAGCCAATTCAGGATCCCCTTTTGGTATAATACACAAACGGCAATTTGAAAAATAGCATCCTTTTATCTGTAATGCTCTGACCTTTAGTTTGATACTCGACAATAAATTCAATGCACATTGACTATTCTTGGCATTATCGTTTGAAAAGTAATCTCCAAAATGAACTGATGAAAAACATACCATTTTCTACACAAACTAATTAAAATAAGGCAAGGGATGACCTTTGATTGAAACAACAAAGCCAAAATGCCCTTGCTGGGAGTGCCTGGTGAATCTTTATTTGGAACATAAACAAGCTTTCTAAATCATTGTTGCACTGTACGGTACTAAGCATCATTTAGTATAGACAGAGGTTTTCCTCTCCTATCCGCTTTGCCCACTACTCCAGACAGATAGCTCTTTCAATACTTCTATTCAGTGAATTAATACCTGAGACAGTGAATGTAAGTCACAGTGTTCAATGTCATCTTGGAATGGTCTTTGACACTACTGCTCTATGAATGAATGAGTGAATGAATGAATGAACCCAGCACATTTCACTGACATGTATACCACACAAAGTCATTTTGGGATTTGGTTAATTCACAACATTCTTGGAGGAAGAGGATGTTAACCCACAGGCTGTATCACAGCCTTAAAAACTTATAGTATGCATTTCTACTGATATTGAGTGGCTGGTACACACTTCTGTTTTGATCGCTATGTCAAGATACTACTTTGCTATTTTCCACCAGTTACCTTTCAGCTCATGTGTAAGCCACAAATGAAAGATAAGTGATCCTAGCAAGGGGTTAACATACACTGATTAATACAGTAAAAGTGGATAGACCACAGTTGCACAAAGATTCTATAATATTTATATGGGGGAAAATAGATTAGATTTTAATGCTGTCTTTATTTCCAACAGAGACAAGCTGGCATAGAGGGCTTGCCTCTATTACAAAGTGACACCACGAGAAAGCTAGACCAAGGTATTAAATAAACCATCTGGCCAAATAAAGATTTGAATCCAGCTCTCCTATCTCTAAATCCATCACGAAACTACTACACTGCAGAGGCTGAAAAAAGGCAGCCCAGGCTCAACGACTTCTGTGGTGTTACGCTGCTGTTTCATATGGTCTGAAAGATGAATACAGCGCCTATTCTAACAAATCACAGCATGAGTTCTTTCAGGCAGACACTGATGAAAACTAATTCTTAGAAACATGTATGAAAGCTTGGCATCTCTTTTAGCCCATTCTCAAAGTATTACCAATAACACATGGAGAAAGGCTCAGGAAGAGTCAACTCTTCAGACCGCATTATATGAGACGGCTATTAAGACAGTGATTTTGCCCAACCACTATCAATAGTTGCAACTGTGGCAAAATATATAGAGAACTACAACTAACATAAACACCATTATACAGATATGTATTTCCTATAGTGAATGTGAACGAATGGCACTTTCTTCAACTTGACACTCTACAGATGTCCTTGGGAATACTGTCATTACCAGTATTCCTAGCTGGCAGAGAATTCTGGGAATTGCAATTTCATCATGGATGTCAGGATGGGAAAGGTATAAACATGTAACGAACAACTGCCTATTCTGGGAAGATGTTCTTGTATTTGACATAGGAAACAGCACTGATAGCTTTCTTTCTCCAATAGCTATGTTGGTTGGCTGAACCGCTGCAAAAGAAACCAGTTACCTGTTGAAGCATGAGTGCCTGCTGCTGTTGGAGCAGGACCTGAAGTTGCTGTGGAGTTAGCACTTGCTGCTGGAGGATCTGCTGCATTTGCTGGGGAGTGATAACTTGAGGTGTCATCATAGCCACCGACACTGGAACCTGAAGTATGAAGAGAGTGCAAAGAACAAGCAGCTCAACAAACCTTCTGTCAAAGGAGAATTGTTTTGTTACATTTTGTTTTAAATTTTTCCTTCTACTCTACACAGTCAAAATAATTGTCTTAGTGAACTCGAGCTGCAGGCTGGGAAGGTTTTTTCTGAACAGGCAAGTATAGAACTGCACTGTTCGGTAACCCCAAATGTTTTTCCTACAGCCTTCATTTTAAAGGACAAGCAAAGGAATAAAAAACGATCGCATCTGATTTAGTTCAGGGAAATACTGCACCTTCCAAACAAGCTTTTTTCCCCTACCCATTCCACAGAAATAGATTTTACGTTCTGAGAAAATCAAGCTATTAATCTGCGCATCTTCTAGAGGTACCTATCAATTTTGACAAATGTTACATTAATTAACAAGTAAGACCCTTCAGAAGCGGCCATTGGGGAGTTTCAACTTAATGACTTGAAGCAAATTAATGCAATTTCAGCGATACAGAAAACCACACCTTGTTCCCCAGCAATTTTAGCGGTGGAATTCCTACAATGATGTCTCAACCGTTCCACATTCACCTAGCATACAGATGGCTTCAATTCTTTCGTATTATGTGAGATACCATTAAAAGCCGCTTTCCATGACATTTCAGTGACAAACAGCTACAGTGATGAACTTGATAGCATTTCATATTTGCAACTGTTAACACGTTTCTGCACGGGCATCTTTGCAACGAACCTGTACACTCTATCTGAAAGGATGATGTCTTGTTCAGATAAAACACTGACATTAAAATGACAGGCTGTCTTGGCCAAGGTTACACAAATTGTATTCAAGCGGATACCTAATGACAATGCTTTGAATTCTGCAAGCTTTCTAGAATGTAATTTAGCTATTCAAAATAATCACTGCACTTGTGTTTAATTTGCAGACTACATGAGAACCATTTTGTCAGTTCCGGTAATGCAACAAGACTATTTTGCAAGAAACCCCAGCAGAAAGAGAGAGAGAGATAAAGAAAGGAAAGGATAAAAGGGGGGAAGTTACAATTGAGGGGGGTACAAAACTCACATGACTGAATAAGTAATATTCAAGCACAATACTTTCCTTTAGTTTCAGCTCAAATAGGTGACAGCAAAAAACTAAAAGCAGTAAAAGGATATACTTAGTTAAAAAGAGTCTGCTGTCATCTCATATACCGCAATGAAAGGTAATAACATGTTTTGAACATTTTTATGCAGCACATGTTAAAAAATCAGCAGACAATAGCTGCTCAGGAGATAAAAAGATTTTAAAAAATATTTCAAGGGAGTAGTAAGCAAGAAAGAAATGCAGTATTAATTTTATGTAACATAACGTCTTAATATGCAGTTTTTCTTGACTTTTTCACATGATTTGTCCTGTCATTTGCATAGCAAATTCTCATTCCTAATTTCACAGTCATTATGCACTGATGTGCCGATTTCTCAGCACCACTAATTTTGATGAACTAAAAGTGGTTTCTGAAGGTCAGATTTATGTACAGCAAACAGTGTCCACTGTTGTTGCCTGCTTACGTATTTTAGAGACAATCCTTACTACATCTGTTTGCAAGAGTCAGATCCTATTATACCCTTTGGCCCTTCATTAACATAACACTAGACACCAGGCCAGAAAGTCTCAGCAACATTACTATTTCAGTGAGGGTTATCAGGACATGCGCTGCGATGTAAAGTAACCTGAAGCCACATTCAGGACACTAAGCTTCTCTATTAGCAAGCACCTATGTGACCCATGGACTGTACGAAAACAAATGTGTGTCAAAGCCATCACATTTGAATTTACCCCAAAGAAAAGGTTTTATACATATTAGAATAATTTTTTGTTATGCACACTCCCATGCTGACAGTTATTTGTACTATGCTTGCAACTGAGTTACTGTCATATAGAATTACAGCACAATTTACTAGACAAATTTTAGGAAATGAATACTAAAACCCCACAGAAATGGGAACAAGAGCCAAATCTATATTAGTACATGGAAATATAGATACAGAATGGTATCAGTGACAAGTGCTGAGGTACAGAGACTATTAATTCCTTAAATCATTGTCTTATTGATTTCCATTCAAGTAACAAGGGGAAGACATATATAGAGATAGACTGACAATGGGGAACAATAATGAAACAAAGAAAAGAACAGGAGCATAAGTAAAGAAACAGAAGCAATAGATTAGCTGCTGATTTGGCACATTTACTGGGCTGACAGAAGCAAGCTTTCTTTCACTCTCCTGCAATCACTAAACTCTTCAAAATCTCACAAATGCTGCATAAAATTTAAGCAGGGTAGTCTGTGTTGCGGGAGAAGTCCAGTAAGAACTAGGTAAATGAATTAGCCCAGTTGCACACAAGTAAATCTGGATCCAAACTAATCACTTTAATTCTAACATCAGACAGGGTGGTTTCAGATAATCAGTTATTGGTCTAAGTAGTTAAAAAAAACTCACTCCGTAGAAAGACAGGAACCTCTGATCACATGATTTAGACTTAACTTTCTATTTTGTAGACTTCTGTTACAAAATATTTGACTGAATCTATCTGTATTTAGTGTTAGTCCTTCAGTATTTTCATTAATTTAGAATTAAAGTACTGTGTACCATTTCTTAATTTTGTAATTTTCTTTTATAAAAATAATTTCATAATGATAGATTCAGATATAAGATTTTTTAAGTGTTACCCCTGATGGATGTACAAGACAATTTTACTTGAATCAGATTTAGGATGGATAATAAACTGGGATGAAAGTACACATAACAGCATTTCTTGGTGTTCTTCCCAACATTCGTTTATTGCAACTCTGAGTATGAAATGAGGAGTAGAGACTTGTCATGAGGTAAGGAAATGAACGTTTCCTTTCCTGCAGATTATCTACTCCACAATGCTATCATTAAGTTTTGAAAAGCATTTTAGTGTCCTATGAGCGGAAAGGGTTCTGCCGCCCTATTCTTTCCACTCCCCATTTCAGTTGAGCACAATTGTTTTTATTTTTGCTTTAGATGATAAACAAGATCTAGTCCTCAGAAAAAAAAGTTTCACATAATTTGCACACCTTCTTTCCCTGAGGCAGTGACACTGAACAGGTAGTGTACAGAAGCCATCCTTCCTAGTTTATAGGAGCTATTCTAATATTTTGCCTTTAGCCCAGGATTGTGACTAAAAAACTGAGACATGAACAAGGGAAAAAATGTTCTTGCTTCTCCCTTGGCATGCTGTTGGGAAAAAAATAGAATAATTTACTGGAGCCGGCAAGAAGTGTTAGCAGTTCTTGCTGTTCCTCCTCTGGATTGGCCCTGCCATGTCCTAAGGAGGGAGAAAAATGGAAGCAGGACTGTGGAATGGCTCCACAAAATGTTGGAAGGAAAATACTGGCTGTTGTCCGAGGGAAAAGTGCCATTTGCTTGAACTTCAGCAGCTCTTGTCTTCCTCACTATTCCTGCTTCTTCTCTTGCCCGCTTCAAGCATAGAATGATGAAAGGAACTTTATCCCACACTGCTTCCAAAACACAAGGTAATTACCTAGACTACATTTTAAGTAAATACATTTAGATATATAATTTCTTAAGTTCCAAATATCCACTTATTCATGTCACTAGTCCCTAATACTACTAGGATTCAAAGAGCATGCAATAGCAGCAATGGGCTATTACAGCTCACACTTTATTACCCATTACTACCAAGTCATTAGCAACAAGAGTGATTGTACTGATCTTAACTTATTGATCATTGTAACCACTATTATTTAATCCTATGCAGAATGTCTAGGAAGCTGCTAAAAACACACAGGAAAGAGTGCTGAAAATTATAGCCAAGGCATGGAAATTTCACTTTGATTCATAAAAACTGGCTAGTGGTTTAAATCAATAGTATTTAAAGCAGTCATGTGAGTTTTTAACCAGAGTTTCTAATATTTATGGGTCCTGGTTTGAATATATTCCATCAAAACAGTACTTATTTTACATACATTACACTTATATCTGATTGAAAGAAGAAATCTCTATTTAAGCTTGTTCTTTAACAAGTTAAGATTTTAATCCTGGATGGCTAAAATTTGAGATTCCTTTTACAAATAATATTTAAAATCCCTTACTTTAAATCTCATCTAATTTTATAGAGAAAAGAGACCTCATACTGGTAACTATCCAAACACATCAATCAACAAACATTTATTGATAGAACATGTCTTCACTACTCTGGAATAAACTAATTACAAGGTATGCTAATAAAATACATGTTATGAATGACAATAAAATGCATGAAACACGATCAGCTTAATCATAAGAGGCTCCTTCATAGTAAATCAAATGAAGGTTATAGATTATGCTTATTGATTTCAAGGATGTGTAAATCTATATGGAGCTAAGATACAGACAAATGGAAGTTCAGATTGCAATCCCCAGAACACTTCCTTAGGAATAAGTTTCATTTAACACAGCAGGACTTTAATTCCAAATACCGTATATAATGCTAGCAGAGTGCTACTCCTCCAATCTGCTCTATGAAACAACCATCACCTCATTACTCTGTTTTAATTTTAAGGAGACCATGGTTTGATTTATTCAATAACTTTCACACAGTCCTGTTGTCACTGATAAACAGGGTGTGGTAGGCATCCGGATCCATTGACAGAGGACAGTGAAGGCAACATGCAGTTGCTTCTTTCCTATTAGGGTTCTACTAGTAGATATCTGCTGACATTGCTTCTAACAGAAATGGCAAATATGCCTTTAAATGATCCTTGGTTCATTTCACTGGTGAATGCCTAGACATCATATTATTATAACTTTATATTTGGTACTAAACTCACCTTTAGGATAAAATGGTGATTTGATGATAATCTTTTTTCTTTCCAAAATTTAATTTGTACAATTAAACTGAATGCTAAATATTGAGTTTCTACCACTTCAAATTTATTTAATATATATCAACACCAAATGTTGTTTTTATTTTTAAAAAGTCCCCAGTTTAAGGAA